TTGCTTGTCACCAGGAAATAGTGCAGCTTGTGACAGCAGGCTGGGACTTGATGCAACTCAGCAACAGCAAGAATAGTTTCTACCTGGGTCACTTCTTCAAAATCAGGAGCATCTTGCTGGAAATTTGGTGCTTGGTTGGGCTTGTATTTCTGTTTTGCTTTGGTGATTCCAACCTGTGGACATGGATTTAGGAGTGAGGCAAAAGTCTTTAAGAAGGTAATCTTCTAATTATTTTTTCTGCCTCTGTAGGAGGTTTTTTTAGGGAATAGTTGGACAGGTTTTCTCCAACTGGAGTTAAAAATAGGAAGAGTGACTGGGGTAGAAGCAACTGTATTTCTTCAGGCAGGGATATTCATTGTTAGGTTTTATGTAACCACACGTTAATATGACAAGGGAGAGAGGATTTATTTGGCAAATTTCAGTTGCCTGGAATTTGTCAGTCTGAACCACAACATTTCAAGACAGGGGCACGTCCGTGGTGGAGTTTGCACCTTTTCTGTGGTACTGGGTGTTCCTTATCCTCATTTATAAAGGACAATTCAGAGGGAGCTGCCTAAACCTCATCTCATAGCTGATTTTTTCCATGTATATTCTCGTGGCTCAAAAACCTTGATCTTAACCCTCTGTTAGATTCCTTCCCTCAGTTCTGGTTTTCTTCAGACCCTTCCCAGGTATCGTTCCATGGCCACGTGATCACCTTGGAGTAGGCTGTTCTGAGGCTGCTCAGGACAGTTTATTCCACTGTCCTTGTTCCTGCTGGGCTGGAACCTGCAGGTTTAGCATTCCACACGTTTTTGCTATGTGAGGAATTCAGCTGAGCAGCTGCATTTTGGTGTGCTCTGGTCCATGAAGCAGCCCAGAGGCCGGGCTGGCGCGGCCGGTCACCGGGATGTTGTGAAAAGGCCGCTGCTGGAGGGGAGCTTGATGGGAGGGCTCCTTCCCCAGGCTGAACAAATAGTTCTGATTCCAGTAAAGTACTAAGAAAATAAAAAATAAAGAAGAGAAGCGAGCCTTGCAAAACCCAGGGAGGGAATGCTACAAAAGATTTAGAAAGAAAAAAACAATAAACCCAAGATGGTAGGAAAGGAAACGTGCCCGACTTCAAGATGAATCAAAATGGTTTTTCAGAATGAAAACTATAAAACTTCTGTTTCGTCTTAATGGCAAAGAATTAAGCAGTTAACGAGCCCTGGGAGAGGCAATAAACCTTTCAAACCAGCTGAGAGATGCTCAGGAATGAGTTGAATACATTCCTTTAGCTGCTGTAGCAATGGAATAAGCCAAGGCTGGTTGAGGCATCCACGTTTCCAGCATTTTTGGGCTTTGTTTCCTGGCACTACCTGTTTTTTGAGACAGCCAAGGGTGGGAGGGAATGAGGGGAGGTGATAGTTTTTGGGATGGGAGGTGCGTGCAGTGCTCAGATTCTCATGAAGAGGTGGGTGGGTGTTCAAATGTGGCACCTGCCCGTGGGTTTTGGCAGGCTGCAGCTGAGCTGGTGACTTCACTGCAGAGAGATTATCTGGAGTCAGTGGTTGGAGATGGTATTGCTCAGAAAAGGGATTAAACCAGCTTGGGGTATTAGGATACTTAAGTTTGGGAACATGGAACTGCAAAGGGCTGTGTGCTTGGCTTCATAAACACAGACACCAACTCTGGGCACGGAGGTGAGGGACAGGACGAGAGGTCATGGCCTCAAATTGCACCAGGGGGGGTTTAGGTTGGATGTGAGGAAAAATTTCTTACCTGAAAAGGTTGCCCAGGGCAGTGGTGGAGTCCCCACCCCTGGAGGGGTTTCCAAGCCGTGGAGATGTGGTGTGAGGGACACGGGGCAGTGGGGACCTGGCAGTGCTGGGGGGCAGCTGGAATGGATCATGAAGGTCTCTTCCAACCAAGGTGGTTCTGTGATTCTCTGAGGACTGTTTGGGCTGGAGGAATACAGCATGTGTTAACCCTCTGCCTGTTCCCTCCTTGTGTCTTTCCTGGTGTGGGCAGCCTGTGGCAGCTGTCAGAAGCTGGGTGCTGAGCTCCACACACCTCTGTGGCTGTTTGTGCAAACCCTGTGTGTCATCAAGTCTGGTGGTTCTAATTGCAGGAAAACAGAGTAATTAACCTTCATAGAATTTTAGTGCAGATGCTACTGCATCCTATGATAAGAAGTCCCCATCAGCTTCCTGCTGTGACACAGCTGAGATACCTTTCTGGTTCAACTCTGCCAGTTGGTTTGGGATCTAGAAGCCAAAATTGGGACCCAAGCAT